CCTAAAACCCTGAACCCTAAGCCCCTCTATTAAACCCTAAATTAAACCCTAACCCCTAAACCCCAATGTGTCCTTGAACTTGGCCTTCGACTGCAGGGCTGCAGCTGGGAGCATCTCGGTCCAAGCAGCGAGCAGTCGAGCGTCTTGGGGGTTTAGGGCCTTTAGGGTTTAGGGTTTTAGGGTTTTGGGTTTTAGGGTTTAGGGTTGAGGTTGTTTGCTTTGGGCTACGGCCCTTTTTTGAGTAGCTCTCCAGCAGTCCGGGGTTTAGGGAGCTGAGAGTTTAGGGGTTTATTTAGGTGTCTTGAAAGGGTACACTTGCGGTGTTGGGACACTCAAGACCTAGTGAACCTAGTGAATGGACCTCCGTATCAGAGCTTAACAGGCATTCTATAACATGCTCTTAGGCCCCTAGGCCAGGTCCACTCGCACTTTCTCGTCCCGGCCCGCTTGACTTGGACACCTGGGACTCGACATACGAAAGGGTATCGCGTGCGACATGCCAAACATACTCTCACCAATGCTCCTAAGTCCTACGAGCCCGCCAGGCACCCCGAGGCCTAACATAACCTATGGCTTGCATGAGTGTTGGACATGTTTACCCGTAAAGCAGTGCTTGTCCGGAACAGCCGTCGCCGTGAAGCAGTGCAGCACTCGCGACTGCGCATGTCGACACCCTTAAGCCACAACTCTGAACCCAAACCAAAGCTCCAAACCCTAAACCCCATGAGCCTATTTTTTGAACACAGACTCTGCTCCATGAGCCTATAAACCCCAAACCTTTAGACCTCCAAAGCCCGAAACCCTGAACCCTCAACTGGGTTCTTGTTAGGGGATTTAACTTCAGTTACCATAATCGGGATCTATAGTAAATAATATGGTTTCATTATTCTGGTAACTTAAATTACATCCCTTAACAAGAACCCAGTCAACCCCTCATGCCCTCAAGCCCATCTAAAGACCGAGGCCCCTGGCCACTGACGCGGTCTCTGCAGTCTCCGAGCTCAAACGAAGCTCACCTCCGATATAACATACCATAGTATCTACTGCATTATACACTATAGACTACCATAATTTATAAATAGAAGTATAAACATCAATGAATATTTATATATATATATACACACTCTAACATTTGCTAACTAATGTAGTTTAATGTATACCGCATCGGGCTGGAGGCTTGTCAAGGCCTGATTTTTTCTCTTGACTAGGATTCATTTTTCGACCCAGGCTCTTATCATCAGGAAAACCTAAATCCGAAACCCTAAACCCTCAACCCTAAACTCCAAACCCTAAGCCCTAAACCCCTAACCCTAAACTTCAAGGCCTCGGGGATTCGAGAACGTCGGCATCATTCACGAAGTAGAATATAGTTTCATAGGGTTCCTTTAAAGGGTTCCTTAAAGGGTTCTGTAAGGGCTACTATAAGGGCTTAAGGGCCTTAATAATTAGAATAGGGTTCCTTCCTTTGGAGGTTCACTATAAGGGTTAACTGTATGTGAGGATCTGCAAAAACTGTGGTGTATGCTGACAGAATATTGATGCCATAATTGGATCACCTTACAGGACCCCCAAATCCTAAACCCCAAAGCCCTGAACACCCGCAGCTCCAAACATTAGCCCTAACCCACCACAGAACCCGGATTCAAGGACCCTTTAACGGACCCCTGAAACAACCCTAAACGCTAAACCCGTACTTCAGAGATGGCTGCACGAGGTGCCTCCGAAGGCTATCCGCCCGAAGTCGGCAGTGCCTCGCCCGAGGAAGTGCAGGTTACAGGTACTTCGCAAGCCGAGCCCGCAAAGTCTCTTGTATTTTTGAACCCAGGAATACTGAAAAAATACTTGCGCCCGGAAAAACATCCTCAGCCACTCGACAAACCCCGCTGTACGGCAGACTGCAGTAGTTCTGAACGACATACATTTATACATGCAAACATAATCATATACATACGTACATGCATACATACACAGTATACACATACATTCATACAGACCTACCTACAGTACTTTACCTGCCTGCATATGCACGTACACATTACACATGCACACGCAACGTGATGAACAATGCGCGCAACCACAGCACTACATAAAAGTTCATGCATATCAAACATGATGTGCAAACCTCCGTAACCCTTTCTTTACGCAGGCTTGATTGGAGCTCGCCCGGTCAAGTTCCCCCGCAGCACATCGCACTCGTGGCGAGATTGGCAAGGCTGCCGTAACCCCTAAACCCTAAAAGCTGTGAATACAAACACGATTCATGATCCCTAAACCCTCAACTCTTCTCTCTTGGCTTGCCCTCTCCGTTACCGTAAAGGGTACATGCCGTTTTGAGACTACCGGACGTCGGCGTTCTAAGCTGCTTCAAAACTCACGGTCTGAGTCTCAAACAGCCCAGACGTCACCCCAACAACCCCATAAATTCACCATTCTTAAATGCTCAAAGGGTTTAGGGTTTAGGGCACTGCTCAACCCCTGAACCCTGAACCCAAAAACAGCTTCACCATGCAAAGACACAACTCCTACTAAGTACTTCCACCCCAAAGCTCCCTCGAATGCCCCGAAATCCTATCCGTATGAAGAAATCCCGAACGAACCTAGAACCCCCAACTCCCAGCGTTTTATGATCTTCAGGCTTGACAACCTGAACCCTCAAACTTCAAACTGTAGAACCAGCCCTCGAACCCCCCTGAAGCCAGAAACCTCAACCCAAAGCAGCGCACCTCCGGGCGGAAGTTCCCAGAGCTCCTCTCTGTCCTGGCTAAGGTCGAAGGCTTCTTGGGGGCTCGTAAGGTTGAAGGTTCTCTTTGCTTCAGGGCTTAAGGGTTTCGACTCTCACTCTCGCATGCAGCAGGCAAGGATCCACAGAATGGCTTAAGGGTTTAGGAAAAAGGATTCAGATACATATCATCTCCATTCATGACTGAAAGGCTACTCATTGCAAAGAGCGAAAGGGCGATGGCACCATGCTTTTCGTCCTCAGCTGCTGCAGTGGATTTCCTTCTCATCTCCAGGCAGAAGCGCATAGGGATATGGCAACAACATGCTGGCCAACCACCTTGGCGGCGGTGGCTGCAGCGCAATCTCGTCCTCTGCACACGGCTTGGTATCAACGGTGCAGGTTCCGTTGGGGTGCACGTGGACAGCTGCTCCCCTGTGCGCGAGCCACTCCTTAGGTGTTTGCAGGTGGCTTGGTAGGCGCACGTAGCTCAGTGATGCCATCTGCCCGCTGCGCCGAAGCAGCGCCAAGGAGCGGCGGAGCTCAAACGCTGACATCACAACGGGCAGGGCTGCGTTCGCCTCCTGCAAGGCCACCCCGGCAGCATCCAAGGAGCCCATGCGCGCATAGTACGGCACGAACTGCCTTCCGCTGTGGTTGGCAGCACGCAGAAAAGTCGTGGCAAGCTCTGGTTCGATCTCTGTCCAAACGTTCTGGGCCGCCAGCAGCCCTGCAGCCTCGTCTACGCGCAGCAGCTCACTCCCAAAGGTCACCGGGAACGCATCCTGCAGCAGCCCAGTGGGCATCAACAGGTGATTGGAGCCCCCGTAGTGCTTCAAGTTGGCGTACATGGAACACGAAGCCATGTGTTGGAGGCCCAGCACGGGAAGGACAAAGGCATACACGAAGGTGCCCACGGCGGAACACCGGGTCAGGGCAGCAGAAGACCCTTCGCCTGAGCCTTTCCGCAATCTGCTGGCCAAGACGGCCGAGACGGTCACCAGAAACATGACGGCGAAGATCGCGAAGGCCGCGCTTCGAATGAAAGCAAAGGCCAGAGCGGCGCCGAGAACTGCCAGAGAAATGTGACCCAAGGCCGAAGCAGCAGCCTCCCAAGGGAGGCAAAGGATAAGGCGCGATGCACAGGTCACTGAGAAACCTCCGGCAAAGTTGGGCGCCGGTGCCAGCACGACGAGGAGGTGAAAAAGAAGCGCGAGGAAAACCCCCAAACGCGGAAAGTAGCCCATCGCCAGAGGAAGCATCACCTCACCTCCAAGAGCTGCAAAAGGAGCTAGCCTGGTGACCATCGGTGCGAGGTCAACAGCGAGAGTGGACGGCATGTAGGCTGCCCAGACTTGGGCCAAGATCACGGTGCCACAAGAGGTTCTGTGATCCAGAAAGGAAGTGTTCAGTTTCCAGAAAGCTGCGCCGGCGTAGAGCAGCAACAGCTGTGCTCGCGCTGCTGGCCAAAAGCGTTGGACGACCCCTGTCTCACCCTGGGCAGCGGCGAGAACAAAGGACGCTTCGGTGGCTGCGGCCCAGCATTCGTGGTCCCACACAAAAGGCAGTCGATGGGCAAACATAGCCAGCTTCACGATGTGCGCCAAGAGCATCATGCCCAGCGCGAGTCGTCCCTCCAACAGCGCCGCCAAACCTGCCAAAGGCAGAAGCACTACATCTCCGGGCCCCAACGGCCGGGCATCCACCGCTCCGGCCACACCCAGCAGCAAGCGATCGAAGAAGGGGCAAAGGACATAGAGCGCCCAGAGTAGCCCGTAAGCAGTCAGAGCTCGCTCTTCAGCTGCACCAGCGCTGCCCATGGCATTGACACCGGAAGGCGTCTTGGGGTTTTGTCTGCGATATGTTTGCTGCCTTGCCAGTTGCCAAGCTCGTGACGGCTCTGTGCTACGTTGACATAGTACCTGGCTGCAGCCGTCAAGGCTTGTCAAGGAACAGGCAGAGCAAATCAATTCCCGCGATGTCGACGGTTGAGGGGTTCACGGGCTTTGGGTTTTACCCGAGCTGACAAACCTACTGCTGCCTTCGGGTCAGGGATCCGGGTTCTTTTCGTTGGCGAGGAGGTTTTGCTGACGGATTGTTTGGAGCTACTTGGGAGATCGCAGAGGTGCAGTCGTTCGTTTCAGTGATGGTGTAAGAACATCGATGCTTTTGAGTTTGCAGTCTGCTCCTCTGCTTACTAGAGATGTCATGTAGGGGTTCCCGAAAATAGGGGACCCTATAATATCGTACCCTAAATAGTAGGATCCATATTATAAGGACCCCCAACATAAGGTACCCCCCCTACTTTCGGAAGCTCCCATGTCATAACCCTAAACCCTAAACTCTAAACCCTAAACCCCGTAGTTTCGGAAGCTCCCCTGTAGGACTGAGACTCGGAGTTCGAGTCGAGAGTGCTTTCGATGTCTGTGTTTGCCGCGCCGCGATTTCCCGAGCCAGGCGAGGCTTCTGTTTGATGCACCGGGGCTGCAAGCCAGGAATCGTAAACCAAGAGCCTGAGTCCCAAATGCTTCGAGATATGGGGCTTTCGAGTCTGCGCGATGTCCGAAACCGGGTATCTCGCCGACCGCAGCTCGAGTAATTTTTGGGATTCGCCAAACTGTTGCGAACTACCTTGCAGCTCACGCAGGCCTCCTCCCCACGATGCAGTGACACTTGCAAGGAGACCTCGATGGACAACTGATGCAGTGGAGGACGTGGACATGGATCAGGAATGCTATCTGATTCTAGGTTCCCCAGTAGCCCCTTAATAATAAGGGTACCCTTTTTCCTACTATTTGGTTTTAATACGGGAGCCCCAAAAAGAAAAAGCGCAAAAGGGTACTACTGGGGAACCTAGGATTTCATGGACATCACGAGCAGCATCCCCGCTCGGCCACCATCACGACCAGCACCGCTGCCATCATTGGCTCATTGAATTACTGTTACTAACGTGCTATCACCCACTGTCAGCGAGATGCCTCGGCCAGGGGGTTCAGCACCGCAACCGCAAATCTCTCACGCAGAAGTCACCACTGGCTTTCGGAGTTCAGAACCGAGCAGGCACCAATACACTCCTGAGGCACAACTTGTTCATTTGCCATTAGTCTCTGGAGGACCACACCAGGAGTTGGATGAGTCTCCGCCCTTAAAGCGAGTTACCCAATCTTAAAGGAGACTCACTCCCCCATCAAACTTTCCACATGCTCTTCTGAGCTCCTCGCCCTCTCGCGCGACCCGAGAAAAGGCTAAACCCTCAAAGCTTGCGGCCCTTGGCCTCTTGTGAGCATACGGATTTCTGCTGGCTTCGGGTCTACCGAAACCCAGAACCTGTTAATTCTGTGCCTGTGCGAATGGGATGTACCCCTGAAGATTCGGAATCCGTCGGGCCAAGCAGCAGGGAGCGAGTTGGCCACGCGCAGGCCCGGAAGAAGCAGGAGCCTCTGGCCACGCGGAGCTCCCCTTTTCGGTCGGTCGGCACAACGTGGAAAACCGAATGCCAAAAAAGGCTGAAAGGTTTTGGGGAACGTGGTACCTAAAGCCAGATTTGGAGCAGCAAGGGGCTCTGTTCAAGTGCCATCTGCTCCGAAAGTCGCAGCTGGACCGAAGAAGCCAAAGGAGGCTTAAGGCTTGTGCCGAGCAGCGAGTAGCGCTGGAGCGTGGTGCGGCTGGAATCTTTCTGGAACGAACCTCCGAGACTGCAGGCTGCAAAAACAAGAACGCCTAAGAACTTCGACTTTGGGCACTCTGCCAGCAGGCAACAAAGACGAAAAGAGTGCATGGCATTGGTATCTCATGACAGAGGACGGGGGGGGGGTTATCATGGCAGAGTCCCTGCGCGAATTAGTGCTAATTAGTGTTTTGGGACCATTGGTACCGACCACACTCTACAGGGTATTGTCATTCAGCGAGGGCCTGCAGGGTTTCGCACGAATGCAACGACATCGGCCTAGATGCCCCCGGAAAGCAAGCACGTGCTGATGCCTTCTGTTGTGTATCTGTCGTGCATTGATGACCGATCCATGTAGCAGGGTCTGCCTCGACCCTAAGCTGTGTAAACAGCCCTGGGATAGATTGCAAAGGGATAGTGAACGACTTGCAGCCGACTTGGGGTGCCGGGTTATTTCGAGACAAGGTGCCGCCCACTGTCCGTGTTTCCTGCGGGCAGGCACACTCTGGGGCAGTCTCTCTACAGTTTCAGACATGGGGTGTGGGCTTGCTTCAAGAGTTTGTGTATGGGTTGGGCGACTTTACAAATTCTGATGCTAGAAACACGATCGACAGATTTGGCTTTGCGAGACTGTGCACCACTTTTTTCAAGGAGTCATCTCTCCTCCGTCTGCACCCCGGGAGATGACACTCTGACTCCAGATCTGTGCTTCTGCACTTGGTACTTGTACAATGGGACTACCTGAAATGTAACTGGAAGGGATCACTCCTTCCCTAAACCCTAAACCTTCATTCTATAGACGGAGCCGGTAAGTAAAGTCAATAGGAGCGACGAGCCCAATCCGCCGTTGTCCATCACAAACATCGTCGAGGCTCCAGTTTCGCTCAAAACAATGCTGTTCCTGGTTTGCAGGTACTTCATCGGCTGTTTACCAGGTTGCCTGTTTATATGCTGTGAATCGGCTTGGGGTTTATTTTGGTTTCGCGGTTTATCTAAATAATCAAGAATGTTGATTCTAAAGGGGCTACCAACTCAGCCCCCAAGCATCCGTATTTAACTTGCAAACCCTGAAGGCCCTAAACCCTAATTACCCCTAAGTCCTGAAATCCCTAAAACTCCTAACCCCTCTCTCTCTCTCTCTCGCGCTCTCGCCCAGGCATTCGAACCCCTACGCCCCAACCCCAAATCCCTATCATCTTACCCTAAACCCTCTCTCTCTCTCGCGGACTCAGAGGTACCCTAAACCCTAAACCCCAAATCCCTATCTTTCGATGCCCTCGGTGCATCCCAGGATCCAAAGCCAACCCCAGGGAGCGCCGCAGCTCCAGTTCCTGCGTAGAGCTTAGGATTTTGGGGTTTTAGGATTTTAGGGTTTTAGGATTTTAGAGTTTTAGGATTTTTTGGATTTCAGGATTTTAGGGTTGGAGCTTGCGGACTTTGGGCTTCGGATGGGGAGTTGTAGTGCGGCCTCTTAGGCTCTTTCTCGCTAGAACTACGGTGCGATGCCGTGCGTATCGCTTGAAGCTGGCTTCGGGCCATCTACGGTATGCCGACCAACTGTTTACAGCAAAGGAGGCAAGCCGTTGAAGCTTCGACCCGTTTTCGCGTGCCGGCACTTGAGTGTTATCACCGAGTGGACGCTGGAACGCCAAGTCTTAAGGAACATCAATGAAGCCTCGTGCAGTAAGATGTTTCGACTGGTACCGTTACTAGCAACTAGCAGCTGTTAATTGGCATGTTTTGGCACAGCGACACTGCAAGCTTTTCCGTTTGGATTCAGAGCTTCGATGCTCACACTCGCACTAGGAAGGCAAGGCTTTAGGGCGAGGGCGGCTGCTCGGACAGATGCAAGAAACAAGCACCCAGTCATTGCACCCTAAAGCCTAAAACCCTTGAACCAACAGCCACCAGGGAGATACTCCGCACGCTGCAATTCTGAAGCGCTGCCTGACATCATACATACTTCAGCACCACCCGGTGCTGTAACATCTGCTTAACAAACAAGCAAACGAAAACTCCTACAAACATACCCTGAACCCAAGGTTTTAATCGTCGTAAAGTCTGTGCTGTATAAGCCCTGTACAAACCCTAATAACACCTAGAAGCCCAAAAGACGCCTTCTCTCACTCTCTCTCTGTCTCACGAATCCGGCAAGCCTTCCGGCCCAGCCGCAGGATCGAACCGCCGAGCCTTACAGAACAGGAATCTGGCGCCGAAAAGCCCACAACCAGGGTTTAGGGTTTAGGGTGCAACCTGAATGGACTGCGTTGGGGACAGGATTCGGAGAACTATAACCCGTACCTTTCAAACTCGAGAAGAAACGCAAGCTTGCTGGAAAGCACACACCACCCCGAAAAAGGCGCTGAGGCTGAAGCCAAGCAACCAAGCCTTTTCTAAAACAGGGTGTTTGGGGTAGATTCCAGTATAAGCAGAGTAAGGCAACCTAACCCATACGATTGGTAATCCCATAGGCCCCATAGTAGTTCCTTTTTGGGGTTCATATTTGGGTCCCTATAAAGTAATCCCAAAACGGAACTACTATGGGGCCTATGGGATAATTCAGGCCCATAGAAGGAAAAAAGTGAAATCTTAAGGCTTTCGACTCTCAGTCGGCGCTGCTTTCCATAGCTGCGCCAAGAGCAAGAGAGGGTTGTAGTAGCTTGTGGTTTAAGGTTCAGGGTTTAGGGTTTTGGACTTTGGATAGTACAGGGTTTAGGGATGAGGGTCCTTGTTTGAAGAAGTTTAGGGTTTAGGGTATGGCAAATAGCCCGTGCGTGGACATGGCCACAGCCCCAACACCCTTAAAAGCTTAGGAGGCCACAACGTTGCCATTCGGTCTGCTCTGTCATCTTATCAAGTATTAAAGTGACTTAAGGCCCATTTGGGCAGCTGGAACAGCCAGATCCCATGGTTGACTGGGGGCTGCCAGATCTGTCAGCTACACCCGCAGCTGACTTCCGGAACTTGCTCACTTGACCACAGTGGCCATTACGGTCCACTACGGTCCCAAACGGATACACGTCTCCCCACCTTGACTTGAGGCTTTCTGGGAACTCTCCTCCCTAAAGTTGGCCGGCCGAGATGCGGAAAAGCAAAAGACAGGGACGACTGCTGCACGCTCGTCACAGACTCTGCCAGCACCTGTGCCATGCGTGGGCTTGAGGGACGGGTTAGGGTTTAGGGTTCCACTCTCGAACATAATTAAGCCTGACAGCCTTCGCATGGTCGAGCCTCTAGCAAGCAGATCAGGCATTGGATTAGGTAGACAAGTGCTACGCAGGTTTTCACACCTCCGTTCCCAAGCAATTGACGATTGCCTGCTGACTTACCTAAGAACGTTGAGTGCCAGTTGGGTTGGGCCGGCGCATTCTCACACAAAATGCTATCTCCAGTCTTGGCATACTCAGTGCTGTAGATTCCTGGATCACTGTCGCATCACCCATTGTTTTCGTCTGCACATTGCAGGCTTTCTACAGAAAATAGTGTATGTGTTTAAACCAGAAGCTCCAAATACAAGAGGAGAACACAGCCTTTCCGTCAAGTGGAGCGAACACTGCAAGTCACGAAGGCATGAAGCCAGAATATATCGATCATCTCTTCGAAAGACGAGCCTCTCAGCAAAGGCGCAAGAACATGAAAACACCCTCAAAGCCAAACCTCGTGGGCCGAACTCTTGCAACCCAGAAGCCGTGATCCAACAGAAGTTCGTACCTGAAGTCCCCCCACACCAAACCTGAAGGACGCCTACTACCCGCAACCCCAGCTGCCTCCAAAGACCCTAAATCCTAATCTTCCAACTCAGCCAGGACTACAGTCACTGGAAACCTGAAGGAAGCCTAGTTCCCTGAACCCTAAGTCAACCCTATACACCCTTAAAGGCTTATAAGCTCTAAACCCAGAACTACAGGCACAGGAAATCTGAAGGCCTGCCAGAACTGCTGGGAGCCCTCCGGCCCAACACTTTGCAGCATGTGCAGGGGGACTTGGTAGGTTCCACCTGAGGATTTTGGGGCCTCTGTTTAGCGTTTAGGGTTTAGGGCTTAAGGCTTATAGGGCTTAGGGTCTAGATAGGGCTCAGGGTTCAGGGTTGAGGTCCAGCTGCATTGAAAGCTTCTCTTGGCATTCTTTGGGCTGCTGCTTTTCGTTACCTCGTTTTTTAGATATTTAAGACGCCGTTTTCCCTAAAGGCCTCAAGGCTCCAAGGCCTGTACATCGAGCCACGGAGGATCTTTGCCGCGGTCTTGGGTGAGTTGGTTTTCCAAGGGGGTTGTAACTAACATTGTGCACTCTTGGCTTCATGCTCTTCCAGAAGAAACGGGTTCCAACCCCAACACTTTCCATCGTTGGCTTGTTCCGATGAGGCTTCTTAATGCGGCTCCGTGCAGTTTTGCTCGAGCTTCCCTTGCGGCATTGCCCAACATCGGGCTTGGCTGCACTTGTTGGGGGCTTGGGGTTTTCAGGCTTCCGATGGGTAGCAGCCCGAGGCCTTAAGGTCAAAGTGTGCCTTCCCCCTGCCCTAAGGGCATGGAGCCCTTTCGTTCGCCTCGACTTGGGGGGGCGGGGGGGTCGAAGAGGTCTAAAGCTTTGGGCGAAGTCAGATTCGACCCAAGAGGCCAAGGTTCCTGCCTGCAATATCCGGTTTAGGGATTAGGGTTTAGGGTTTAGGGTTTAGGGATTAGGGTTTAGGGTGTTGTAAAGCTATGGGGCGGCACTAGGTCTTTCCTCTTCCGTTGTGCGGGCACAGATTCATAAAACTGACTGCTTCCTGTATGTATGTGTGTATGTATGCATATATGCAAGTATGTACGAGTGTAAGCAAGTATGTATGTAAGTATGTTTCTATGTATGCCTGCATACACACATGTATGTCTTCATGCGTTTTCTGGCAACCTCTCGTACTCGTACAAGGTGTTGAAACATGAACATACCTGTACAAGCAATACTCATGTACAGTCTAAGCATAAACTAACAGAACTAGGCCTTGGATACCAGCTGACGACAGCTCCCCGCTGCGATCCCAAACCCTCTCCCCGATGCCCGCGGCCTGGAGGCACGACCACTGGCGGCGGTGCTGTGTGAACCTTCTTGGTATAATGCTGGTGTCAGCAATCATTTTGCGTTGGCTTCGGGTGTGCCCTATCGGAAAAGGTTGTCGCGGATCGTTGTTCTAAGTTCCACACGATGAGAAGCTTGAACAAACTCTTAGACTTTCAGGGGCCAGGCAGGCAAGTTTTGCACGAGTCGTGAGGGCCTTCATCATTTGAACAGGGTTTTGGGGTATAACATATGCCGTTGACTGCAAAAAAAAGGTGACTGTCAGGGGGACTACGCCGACTTCTGCAGACGCCGGTCTCATGCCAAGGTACTAACATTGTCCAGCAACACCAAGCATTGAGAAGGCGGTTCGCTACATTTTTGCGGACATGAAAGTAGTCATTCACTTGTCTCGACATCACAGGTCCTCATTCTGTTAGCCTGTGGTCTTTAGGCTCGGAGCTGAGGCTTTCCTGCAAAAGGCCCTGTAACCACATCTCGCAAGACAAGCCAAGACAAGCCGTGATTGCTCTCGTGCACGTGCTCTCTGACTCCGGGCCTCTTCTCCCCTATGAGAGTTCGTCAATTTTCTAACTAATCAAGGTCTGGGGAAGCACCCGCGCAGCAAGAAACAGCGCCACAGGTATCGAAACAAGCAGATACTCTCACCTTCATCCTAGCTCGAAGGATAAGATGGAGCAAGCTGTAGGGTCACTGTGAGGATGTTCCGATGTCACGTGCCTTGTAGAACCCACCTTGCCAGTGGTCTAGCCTCTGTAGGGTTTAGGGTTCAGGGTTTAGGGTTCAAAGTTCTCTGCCATGTACCAAACACGGTCAGGGTCAGAGCAGGGTGCTGGAATCCATGGTGCCAGCTTGCTGCTGAGCGGCGGTGGTTGCAATTTGTGCCGCCATGCGGGATCCAGCTGCGGCCTAGTTCAGGGGTTTGGTGTTTAAGCCCTAAACTCGAATAACTCCTAAACCTTAAGCTCAAAAAACTCCTAAACCCTAAAAAGGGTTTGGGGGCGAGGGGGTTGAGTTAAAGTCAGGGCTTAGAGGCCTGAAGCCTGAAGTAATGTAGGGGCCTTAATAATTAGAATAGGGTGTTGGGGTATATTATACCCTAACTATAATAAGGAGCCCGAAAAGTAGTATAGGTAATTATTTAGGCTTCTATATTAATTGAGCCTGTCAGCCTCCGAAGTTTAAGGCGCATGTCAGTTCTGGGTTTAGGATTTAGGGTTCAAAGTTTAAGGCTAGGTCTAGCCGAGCTTCCTGCTTGTGAAGGGAGCAGAGTGGGTATGAGTGGGGGGTTTCACTTCGGACATTGCGGTTAGAATAAGGGTCTAGGATATCAAGCAGCTAGTGCAGCCGATGTTCTTCGGGAACTCCGAATTTCGAATCACCCCGAGTCCACCCTAGCTCCAAGCTAAAACCCTAAAACCCCTAGAAGCTGAGGTCTCAAACCCAAACAAAAATCCCTCGCTCTCATCTGTCCGACCTCATCGCCAACCCTAGAGCCTCAGAACTGGAAGCCCTTTAACTTTTGACCGGAGCCTGAATCCCTCCCCAAAATCCTCAACTATTGGGTTTTGGGTTTGGGGTGTTTAGGGTTTCGGGCGTACGTCCTAAACCCCAACGCTTCGACCCTCACTCCCGGAGTGTGATCGTAAGCACCTCGAACACACCTCCAATGCCCAATCAAACGGGGTGACAACCCCCGCAGAGCAACTAGAAAAGTGCACTTATTATTAGGGGGTATGTTTTTATCTCTACTGTCACTTTTGAAGCTCGTTCTCGCTCCTGCACCTGCTCTTGCTCTGGCCTTTGCTCTTGCGGTAGCTCTTGCTCCAAGCCCCCTAATGTCAATTAGGTTTTAAAGGGCAGGGATGATTTCGGGTGGATTGGCCCCAATGTGTTTTCAATATTACCGGGTGTTTAAAACTAAATGCGGGGAGGGATTTACTAGTAATAGCACCAATGCTGGATTCCTTACACTCCTAATGGTAGTCCGAGAAAATGCACCGCAACAACCCTGTTCTAATCATAATGCTCGTATATGGGGGTTTCCGAAAAGAGGGGACCCTAATATAGCACCCTCAATAGCCGGATCCTTATAATAAGGACCCCCAAAACAAGGTACCCATTGTTTTCGGAAACTCCCATATTGACCTAAAACCAAGCCCTAAACCCTGAACCCTACACCCTAGGGTCTCGGGTTCCATAAAAGCTTTTGCTGCCGAGGGGCCAGGGCCCTGGCAGCCTCTGAGGGCGGTGGTGGCAGAAGTCGCAGTCGCAGTGGGAGCTGGGAGGCATTCCTGAGGCAGAAATGGCTCAGGGCCGTCGTGTTTCAGGGGTTCCACGTTTTGTGGTTCGAGTCTTAAGAGTTTAGTGGGTAGGATCCACTCCTATCATCCTGTCCTTTAAGATAGAGCTTTTTCAAAACCGAAATAAGTGCTTAGTCAGGCTTAGTTTTTGTGAGAAGGATGCTCATGAGGGAATGCTCGACCGGTTCGGCGGAGCCCTCGATGCTAAGTCATAGCTTGACCATGGATGCACAGTACGTCTAAGTCTGAACCCGTAGCAGCATTCGCCTGCATCCTAATCTCGACAATCAGCGCCGCGCATGGCCATCAGTCTTGAGCGTGGCTTGTGTAGTGACTACATGATAGGTAGACCTATCACCATTCAAGCTTGCCGTGCGTGCTGGGTTAAGCCTGTACTGTTCAGGAGTGATCACATCATAGACAGGCGCGAACACACAGGATGTTCTGGTTACGTCCCGAAAACAGGAACCCCTCAGCTTGCGGAACGTAGACGCCTCAGTAATACATACGGTTTTCAGAGTATAGTAGAGTATATCGACAGCAAGGAGCCCTGAGGAGTGGTGTGAGTAATTCCTCTGACGCTCTATCGTAAGCTTCCCTTGCTGCTTTTTTCGCCGCCATAGCGAAGCTCTCATCTTTCCAGGACGGGGTTCTCGTGGTTTCATGGTCCGAGTGTCATGAGGGCACACCGGCATTCTGATCACCGGTATCACTGTTGGCGGTATTGATTGCCAGCTATGTTAAACCTTCAGTGACTCAACCTATCTGAATATTTCAATTTCTCAACTCTCGACTCCAGAACTCTTAACTCTTAACCGTACACTCGACAAGTCTGACAGTTGAACCTTCCCACCTGAATGACCTTACGTACCTTACAGCACCCGAGAACGAAGATCATGCGAGGATGACTAGTCTTGGGCCAGCCTCACCGCCCTGCGGCAAGGATATCTTAGTGGCACCGTCTGTCCCCCCATAAAGCCTAAACCCACCCCTTCTTCCCGGTGGGTGTGGGTGTTCTGGGGCTTCGATCCCATCCAGGCTTCACGGTTTTTGTTGTGAGGTTGATGTGGGAGTTTCCAAAAATTAGGGTGCTTCATTTTGGGGTCCTTATAATAAGGATCCTACTATTTAGGGGACTAGATTAGGGTTCCCTATTTTCGGAAACCCCCATGTCCAAAAAGCCAGAACTGTCTTGAGGATTCCGGCTCCCGGCCCTTCCATCCCTGTGACCATGTTGGAAGCAACATCGCAAGGTCCGGGTGCAGAACCGACAAGGATTCTGCGCTTGCCTTGTAAGACCCATGGGGCGGAACCGGGAACGCCCAACGCCTGACCGCAAATGTGGGCTGTGATGGTGGTGGAGGAAGAAGCGGCAGTAGCGGCGACAGCAGTGGTAGCGGCAACAGTCGTCGTCGTCGTCTCGTCGTCAACGTCGTCGTCGTAGACTGCAAGTCGTTGTCGTGGTGGTGGTGGTGGCGGTCGCCATCACCAGCACCTTTTAACCCTGCCACTGCCGCTGCCGTTACGACGACCCGACTACTGCAACTTTGATGACCAGGACTACTGCCAATGCTATTGCAACGAGTTCGGCTGTGGCTGCTCCTACTATGGTTGCGAGGACCACCAGGACTACTATCACCTTGATTGCTCGTCTTGCTTTTGATGACAACTGCAACAGGTATGAATGTCGTGATGATGCAAAACAGAGCCGCTTAGACTGACTGCAGGTCTTTTTTTGCGGCCCCTGACCCAAACTTCCATCCTTAACTCAGTCACTAGATTTGGTCTTAGTTGGACAAGTGCTCGCGCCCTCGGGGGAAGAGCGACACTCAATGCGGACCACGTCTTCAACCACAATTCTTGTGTTAGAGGCACGATGCTTGGACCCACGGCCGCTGGCTTACCCATTCTGCATGTCTAATGCAGAGGCCTTCAGAAGTAGAATAGGGTTTTGGGGTAAATTCTACTATAAGTATAAGGAACCCCACAAGACCTTGTTCTAAATATTAAGGCCCCTATATTACCCATTCCGCATGTCTAGCAAACTTGTAGTTGTAGGAGTCCGGAGGCTCCATTCCCCATCTGGGTTCCTTCCGGGGTTCTTTCAGTGTGCGAAAATAGAGTCCTCTTACGGGTTCCTTTATGGGTATACCGACACCCAGTCATAAGGGATTCTTGAAAACGCGGACCCCTTGCTGAGCTTGCCGGCGCCGAGATCCAAGCAGCATCTTTAGTCAAAAGCTTTCTTGCCCGAAAAACGTAGGCTGGGCTTGGCCCAGTCGCTGGACATATGCCCCCTGCACATCCCAGAAAGCTTCCCCTAAGACTAAGGAAGGAGGCCATAGATGGGACAGATATACATTGCACCTTACCTAGAGCTTTAGCTGCTGCAAGGACACACCCTACACCCCAGCTGGGCCTGAAGCATATGCCTTCGCCAGACTGTGGCATGTCTTAGTGCTAAGCATCACGATTCATGTTATCAACAAGACTTGGTTCTTGTTCTTACACTGGTAACCATAATTGCTACCTCAAAGCTCTAAGTAGGTATTACTTGAGGCACGAGAGCCTCGTAAGTTCGAAACCCAGAGTTTTTGCTGCGGCTCTTGGTCTCTGTGTGCTTCGGGGGTTTTGGGACACTCACGCTCGGACAAGCCTGGCAAGGTCTGTAGAGATACTGGTCCAACGATGAAACTCGACTCTCGATACACAGCTTGTGGGGGTTTAGGGTTTAGGGTTGTGGGATTCAGGTTTGGACGGTGAGCCTTCCCTGATTTCAGGGCCCTTTTGATAGGGATCTCCATTTGGGGCCTAGGTTTGGGTCTTTCATGTCTGAGCCTGCCCTATCGAAACCTTTCTACTAGAAAAAAAGGTTTCGGGCTACAGCAGGGCATGTTGTGTCAGAAGAAGGTAGAGATTTTAAACTCCCGCAACAGACAGAAAGTGCTATCTGGTCTTGGTATACCCTACTTGGAGGAACATGGGACTTAGGAAGTAAGGTTATAAGTCCCTTATAATTGGGGTTACAAGTAACCTTATAATTGGGGTTGCAAGTAAATATAAGTATAGTTACCTTAATTATAACCCTACTTACTAAGTCCCATGATCCTTTAAGTAGACCCTACATCCCATCTGAAGGCCTACCTCCTGGGATGCAAAATGGCGTAGAATCCTCCTTCAGGAGGGAATCTTGTCGCACACCACCGGGGATTCGTAAGTCAAAGGAGGAAAAAGGGGAGTCCCTTCCGAAAGGGGCGTCGTGCGAACAATAATCCACAGGCTCCCAGACCGGAGCTCAGACCAATTCTGACCGCCCGCCCCAGCAAAGCACGCAGTTCGGGGTTACGCTTCTCGCCTCTGTGCGATGCCTTCTGCTTCCTGCATGTTTGGAGCCAAGATACAATACGCCAAGGGTAAACCCTCTGTATTCGACCGCAAGATAACATAGACCTTAGAGACTGTGAGGCGAATACACTGTGTCTTTCCATACAGCTTCCATCTCCTGAAGAAGCTGCGCGCTGAGCACAACATCTTCTAGCCGTAGATCTTGAGGGAGCTTCTGTCTGCCAACAGCTACAGTGGCCGACTGCCCTTATGCGTAGATGTAGCTTGCCTTTAGGTATTTAGATACATAGATAGACAGATAGATAGACAGACAGATAGGTACTGTATTCGATAGACGTATGTAGATGGACGACAAGCAAATAGAAGGAGAGAGAGAGAGAGAGAGAGACAAAGAGAGGGAGATAGATAGATAGATAGATAGAAGGAAGGATAGATAAACACACACAGACAAATTGTCATCTGCACGAACCACGTGACGGAATAATTTGTGTGTACAGGTACCACCCGACTAGTACGCCCTGCGAGAGCAGCAGCCCCAGATAACAACTGCGGCTCCGGGTTGGCAATTTACAGGCACGGCTTCTGACGCTGCATTGAAGGCTTTGGGGGTTTGGAAGGTAAGTAGAAGGAGGACTGGTCCAACCAAAATGTTGCCGTCTTCCCCCAACATCGAGAGTAGATTTTTACAACTTCAGCTGTGGAGGGCACAGGGACGATTTCACTTCCACGAATGATTCTTTCTATGTCCTGGCACAAAAGCCAGAATGTGACTCCCTCCGGTTTATGTCGCAAGTCTGCAACTCGGTCTCGGAAAAGCCCCGACAATGAGCAGTCCGTGACACACGCTTATGATTTCTATGAGTCGTAGCATTGCAGCGACAGAAATCGCAGTGCAACTTTCTCTGCAGCTTGCGTGTGGGAGCTTTTGTGGGCATAGAACTGTTTCACATAACGCTCGAGAAATCACCAAGCAGATCCCTCAACGAAGGCAGTAAGAATATATATATATATATATACACACACACATACATACGCACACATACACATACACATACACCTACACATACACATACATACATACATACATATACATACATACATACATACATGCAGGCATGCATGCATGCATGCCTAAATGCTTATATGCAAGCATGCATACATACATGCGTACATGCAGGTGTGCATGCGCACATGCACACATGCATGCATGCATGCATGTATGCATGTATGGATGTATGTACGTATGTATGTAAGTATATATGTAAGTATATATGTAATGTATGTGATGTATGTAATGTATGTATGTATGTATGGCATGCTATGTCATGTTATGTACGTATGTATGGCATGCTATGTTATGTCATGCTGTGTACGTAGGTCTGGCATGTTATGTTATGTTGTGTTATGTTATGTTATGTTATGTTATGTTATGTTAGTACGTATGTATGTATGTATGCATGCATGCATGCATGCATGCATGTATGTATGTATGTATGTAAAAGTATCTGTATGTATGCATGCATGTATGCATGTCTGCACGTATGTATGTATGTATGTATGTATGTATGTATGTATGTATGTAGCCCCGACGGAAACGCACTTTGCTTATCACGGGTCTATACGGCAATATGCAAGAAGGGCCATGA